ATATATATATATATATATATATATATATATATATATATATATATATAAGAAATGGATGCGCAGAAGATCTACCTCCCCGTGGTGCACCTGGTAACACTTTTTAGTGGCTAAAAGATCTGCAACTTGGCATTATTGTTAGATTAATGAACTCTGTTTCAGCATGTTTTGTTGTCGTTGTATGTTGTATGTTTTTGCTGTAACTGTTCATAATCTGCCATTGGAAATAATAAAAAAATATATATGTATATAAGAAATAAAAAAAGGAAATCATTCAAAAATATTTATTTTACTAGTGCGAGAGTTGTTTCTTCACTTTTTCACTTAGCTTTTGCAAATCGAACTAAATCTAAATTTGAGTATTTGCACATTGTAATGGGTGTTGAGTCCGTTATGTTGGAGCGTGTTTTGTGTTTGGTCAATTTCATTTTCGAAAAAAATTAATCGCAGGTGTAAATTGAGCCAAAAGCTCTAACAACTTGGACTAAGAGTATGTTTGCTCTGCTATCAACAATCAATTGTGCGTATCTAGGAATGGTCACTGCGTCACTGAGGTCGCTTAAAGTGAAACATGGAACCTGTTATATTAGATGCACTCTCCTCACGAGTACGCAGAATATAATTTAACTATTCTGCGAAATCATACCTGTAAACTCATAAATAAAACAGGCAATAACTATCTCATATTCGCAAGAATATTATTTTAAAATCAATGTTACTTTATTCACATCATTTCGACAGTTCATTTTTTAATAGAGTGATGCGCACATAATGCATTTTTTTAATACATTGGTTTTACCATTTACTTTGGCCATTACAAAATAAATATATTTTGTAAAAGTGTGATGCATTTCACGGGCCACAAAAATATTCAAGGCGGGCCGCGAGTTGGCCACCCCTAAACTCACTAGTCACAATTCTCGCCTGATATTATGTGTTGTAGTCGACTAGATCGGGCTTACATTTTTCATTTATTACAATTCATTTTTTTTCTTATTTATGTATATATTTATATATATATACATCATATCTTTTATTATGTCTCCTCTTTCTTTAGGGGCAACCAATTACCGGCTTTATTGCTGAATCGTCAGACGACTGCAATTAAATTGAACGATATCTATATTTGAAGTCTCATAACTCAAGTACTATATGTTAACATTGTGAGAATCTATACAAGCAAATAAAAAAAAGTATGTAAGCAATTAATAAAATCTTTTATTGTATAGATTCAGAAATTACAGAAATTACAGATTACAGAAATTTAAAATGAACGGGACTTATTCGGAAAATAATACTCTTCGGAACGTTAAAATTCTCTGTACACATGAAATTGCCTTCTGGGTGATCAGAGAATTGTTCATAATAAGCCTGTAGTGATCTCAATTCAAAACATTTCAATGATTGATAGCAAGCAAATATCTTTTTCAAAAGATTCTTGCAAATATACACTCAAGAGCCAAAACATTATGATCACCCCTACATTTTGAAATGAACTCGCCTGGATGACGTGGAAGGCAGTGATCAGGTGGAAGTGTTATTTAACTGCTGCTGGAGAGTCTGAAGAATCATTCTTTCACTTACTTATGTCACCTACTTATGTCACCTACTTATGTCTTTCACTTACTTATGTCACCTACTTATGTCTTTCACTTACTTATGTATTCTTTCACTTACTGCGGATCTAAGCGACTTTGATAGAGGGCAGATTGTAATGGCTCAAAGGGTCGGAAGAAGTATTTCCGAAACTGCACGACTCGTGGGTTGTTCGCGATCTACAGTTGCTAGTACTTATGCAAAGAGGATGAATGACGATGAAACCAGCAGTAGACGACATGGTCTTGGACGTCCACACGCTATCAAAGAAAAAGGTCGTCGGAGACTGTCTCGCATGGGGAAGCAAAACCGGAGAAAGACAGTGGCACAGCTGACAGCCCAATACAATGCAGGGCCAAGTAGAATAGTATCGGAGCACACTGTTCAGCGGACACTGTTGGATATGGGGCTACGCAGCAAACGTCCCACTCGTGTGCCTTTGCTGACCAAGCTTCATCGCCAACTGCGCCTGCGCTGGGGCCGGGAACATCGTGACTGGTCCATGGATCAGTGGGAGAGAGTGCCTGGTCAGATGAATCACGGTTTGTCATTCATCACGCCGATGGCCGTGTCAGGATACGCCGTCTTCCAGGCTTACAGTTGCTCCCTCAATGTACAGTAGGTCATACACAGGCCGGTGGTAGGGGTATTATGCTTTAGGGGAAGTTCTTTTGGGCGTCTCTGGGACCCGTGATTGTGGTAGAGCAGACCATGAATGCTACAGGGTATCTGAACATCATTGCGGACCAGTTGCTCAGAGTTCAAAGACCACCAATTCGCAATATCTCGGATTTGCGTGACCGTTGCTTAAACATCTGGTACAATCTGTCTCCGGCCATCTACCAAGGACTTGTGGCCTCCATGCCAATGCGGGTTGAAGCTGTGTTGGGCGCCAAAGGTGGGTCAACTCGTTATTGACAGGTGGCCATAATGTTTTGGCTCTTGAGTGTATATATATTTCTTTATTTAGACGAAAAGTGGCCCTAGGCTATACCACCTATGAGGTCCTTTCACCTCCCTTTTTAAGTTTGTAAATTGCACGAGAGATAATAAAATGCATCATTACTGTGATATATATCAATATGTTAAATGAAACATGTTGTGATGGGTACTAATCTTTATAAAAAATGTGGCGCAGATAATAAATAAAAAAAATCGAACACTTATTTGGATATTTACTCTCAGCACACTATATAGTACTTGTAACAATAATTAATCGATCATAATACACAACATTTACAAAGAAACAAAATTCAAATAAACATCTTTGACTACGAAAATAAGATATGCAATAAAAATGATCCTATTTTCTATCAAATTAAGTACACCCGAACAGACCCAATGAGCCGAACTCGTTGATCTTATCCAATGCATTTTTATGTTTGTTTGTTAGTCATATGTGTAGAATTTCTCCTTATTTTTGATTCAGTATTTTAGTGTTGACTGTTTTAGTGTTAATTCTAATTTTGCTAACAATTTGAATATAGGCCCCTCTTGGTCTTTAGGCCCTAGGCTGAAACTTAGTTAGCTTATGGGAAAAACCGGCCTTGTATATATATATATAATCACGTATTCGCATATTCGCAAATTCGCAGATACATATATATATATATATTCGTATAAACAGAATTTTCATGTGGTGGTGCCATCTATTATCTACTAAAGGAAAAAGAAAAAA